ATTTGTTTCAATAACAATCTCCATACTCACAGTATTTTATTAAATACAACGTATCGACTTTGTAAAATGAACAGAAAATTCAAGAAGAAGAACTTGTCAACTTCCTACAGGTTACTCTGTGAGTTATGATTTTAAATGGAAACGTGAAAGGAATTTAATTTCCTTTATCAGAGATATTAAATGTTGAGCGTGACATATAGGATGTGACGTTGTTTACGAAGGTGTTAACGCGTTTTGCTACGGATTATGAGCAAGATGATTAGGAACGTAGTATATAATAGGATGAATTTTACGTTATTTTTGGGAAGCGAGTGCTGGATTATGTAGGAATGTATGTAAAAATGTAAGATATTTAATTATTTCTTCTATATATTATATTTGTTTATAAGCTATGTATGTTTCTTTTTCTTATCTGATTTGAACTATAAAAGTCTGGTAATAAGTGTCAATTCTTATAGTGACAAATTTTATATTCTGTGACAGAATAAAAATTAATTTTTGAAATATAATTGACGCGGTTATCGGTGTGTTAATTGAGCCGTTCATTTGTCAAAATTAATAACTTCACGAAATGAAAAGTACAAAATTTTATAGAAGTTACGTACATTAAGGACCAATTAAATGTTTTAATAAACGATGAATATCTTTTATATATAATTGTAGACGATAAATATTTATTCACACAGATATTCTACGTCTATTTTATACTTTCTAAGTAGTACCAATGGAATGTAAAAACTACAAGGCAGAAATTATTTAAAAATTGAAAGTCTCCCTTTCAAAATATACGAATTATGATTAATTTCGAATGACCTTCATCATTCGTCCATTAGCCGGTCATACAATTATGTCCGAAGCATTGCAAACATCACAGTGAAAGTGGAGGCCCGCTGCTCGAATAAATAACGTTTTTGAGAGATCGGACAATACTGAAGAATTGTCGTGGCAATTTTGCCAAGAAATAGCGGATGAATGATGGGAACAATTGGTGACTTTAAAAGTGTTAATTCGATTCCGGCGTCTGAATGGCACCTTGATTCCGAACTTGAAATCGAATTACAATTCACGTTGCTGCTCTCGCCTTTGATTCTGAAAACGATGTTTCCCTGTCAAACCTTATTAAATAACGTTCATGCTCAGCGTGCTCTGATTCATTTACGTTGAGTTGATTTCCCGTGAAATTACACCGGTAATCACAGTTAAATATTCTATAAAGTACCTCAGCTTCGAAGATTCTTGGAAATCAATGTCGACGCTACGTAGAAATAATTCTAACATACTTTGAGATTGCGAGGAACAAATAAAAGTTTACATTTCATTTATCAGTTTCAGCAAGCGTGTTGTGTTCTTGTTAAAAACTCGATCAGAATTGTATTGCAGTTTTTTTGTATCTGTACAGTCTGAAATAGACGTGTACGAAACGCAATGAAACCAATTTCTATAATTCCAGTGATTTCGAGAAATAGAGAACAAGTAATAGTACCTGCTTCCACTAGCAAGAGATATGGAAAATTCGATTAAAAATAAATAACGATAGGAACTTATGGGAAAAACTTAAAATTGAAATAGAAATTAGAAATTGTTTAATATCGTAGATTTTTTAACATGATTGTAAAGATTGCAATTAAGAAACTATGTTTAGAAATTTATAACCCAAGACGTTGGAATAGTATACATTATATTATAATTGTATAATAATTATAGGGGTGTTTCAATCTTCATGTTTATGTCATCATAAAAAAGCAAGGTTACTATAATTAATAATTACTCAATCTAACTATTGTAAAGTATATCTATTGCTTTGAAATTAAGTAATGTTGCTCTGTATATATGCATGGAAACTATATAGAAATATATAAACTTATATGGAATTTTCTACTAGGTTTAGATTTCATATAATACATACTTAAAAACAATTGAAATTACATGTTTAATTAAATATCACGACAGTGACATTAGTTCATTATTGTTATATATAATCTGTTAATAATTAGTGTAAAGTATCTAAATATGCTATCATAAAATTTGGTAATCGTTTATGAAAACTTCATTCTTAAATACATATTATTATTATTATTAAAAATTACTTGACGTCTTTAATAATATAATTAATGAAAAGTAGGTTACAAAGATGGGAAATGTCATCATTGTTCCATGAATTACTTATCAAATTTGTCTCACAGTAATTGTCTTTCAAAATAATAGGAATCGATGGTGGACACTTATTTCCATAGCCATCAAACTAGGAAGGAAGTTTAATCCGGGACTTAATCTATCAGTAACGTAGTTAACTGAAACACTAACTTTACAGAGACTGGAGGACAAAGAAATTGAGTACGAAAAATCTAATAATAAGTTTATTTAAATTTCAAAGTGTGATGTATTGCTCAAATAAAAACTGATTAATGTAATTTTATAAAATATGTAAAGTTTTTTTAAGGTGTATGAAAATGTACACAAAGTTTAAAGATGTAAATTAACAAAAATGAATTCAATAAAATCAAAACTCCCTTCATCATTTTAATAACACTAAATATTTAATAATAATTAATTAATTATTAATGACCATTTAGTTTAAATTTTTTACTTTGTACATAAGTTCCAAATGACTACAGAATTTTTTAAAAGCAAAATATTTAAATTTGAAAAAGGTTAATTACTTCGAAAGTCTTCAATATCTCAAATAGTAACCATAACAAAAATAAAAGTATTTAAAAAATATCTTTCGTTAATATAAATATTCGAATCCTGCATATTTTGCTTTTCTTTTTCACTCAAATCTTCCGTAATTAAATTAGCTTAGAACTATATCAGTCACGTCAGTCCAGCAAAATAATTCCACGCATTGTCTATTTCTTTTCTATTCCAAAAAATCTCAGATATCACTTTGCATACTATAAATATGAAGTATCAAAGTGCATACGCAAGAGATTCGAGTTATCTGAACAGAAAGATTTCTTAGTATTATTCCATTTAAAATCGAACGATTATGAAACCTTAATACGCCAAATTCAGCAACTGAAAGCGTCGAAGGGATTTAATCACGCTCCAAGGAATCGTAACCTCCACTTAAATGTTTAAATGTTCATTAACCCTTTTACGAAACCTATCAGTTTAACGGATATTAATGTTCGTAAACTCTACTTGGTAAAGGTTTATGTTAATTTTGGTTGATACAATTTTAGGAATACGTATCCCAACCCTGTGTTTTAGAAGCTCTAATTTCCAAAGCCCACACAAACGAACCCTTATTGTTTTAGGAATAATTCACTAAAGTGTATATATGAATGGATGTCTTGAAGAAAATTGGTTATAAATTTTTCAAAAGGTATCTTTTACGAAAAAAGAACAGCATGTCGTGTAAACAACGTTCTTCCAAACTTTTATTTCTTAATTATTATTCTAGATGTTAGAAATTACGCATAGATGAAAAGTGAACATTGATAACTGTAAGTAAAAATATCATATGTTACAAATTTCAATCAATGTAACAGAGTCAAAAAAATAAAAAAGTTGATGTTCGTTTATTTCGATTTCAGAGGTTAGTACTGTGATAATAGATAATTGTGTAGTGTAATTGCATCAGTTGAAATCAACGGAAACATTTACAAAATAATATTTATAAAATTTAATATACGTCAAATTGACACGTTCCACACTAGAACGTTAACACTAGAACTATCATGCCAGTCAAGACGACTGGTTTCGATTTTTTTGTTTCGCAAATATTGATATCTCAAAAGCATTGAATATTCGAAATAATATTGAAAACAGATATTTTCATTTAAATACTATAATGAATGACTGCAGAAACTAAAGATAATTTATTAGTACAATTTTTGTAGGGATTATATATGAATCATATTAAATGCTCGATAGTCCTAGTGTTAATACGAACGACATGTAATCTCTATGCATAGTGTAACAATAGATTATCATCAGTTTCTTCAGCCGTTCATTATAGTACTGAAGTGAAACTACTTATTTTCATGCTTTTAACACTATTTCTACCGAAGGCGTCAGAAGACACCTTTCGAAATTTCCACGTAAAATTACTTTCTCAGTTTAATCATTTTTTCTCAATTGAATGTTTGGATATTTCTTATAGTTAATTTTATAATCTTTATTGGAAAAGTCGAAAAGCCAACTCAGAATATACGACTAAACTTGGAAACTAATTTTAAGTTAAGATTTCAAAAGATGTCTTCTAGCACCTTCAATACTAAATAGTGTTAAAAGCATAGAATATTCAAAATGATCTTGTAAATAAATAGTTCCACTTGAATACTATAATAAATGTCTGAAGAAACCGAAAATAATCTATTGTTACAATTTTTATAGGGATTACATATCAGTCGTATTAATACTAGAACTGCCGAGCGTTTAATATGATAGTGTTAACACATTGTATGCGGGAAACGTAAAAGTACTATTTCTATGTACCGTCAGGTAGTATTAAATAAATACTTGTATAACTTCGTTAACATTTTTGGTAAATATAGATAGTTGATTCCTTTTGTATATGCTTTGAAAGTATTTCTATTTATAATAGAAACTCTCCAAAATATGTTGAATAATAAATAAATGAATTGAATGAAACTGATATAAGTTGAAATGAACAAAATGGCCCGCACGCAATGTGTCAAGATATCCAATAATTGCAAAACAAAAAAATTGAAACCAGTCATTTTGACTGATACGGTAGTTCTAGTGTTAAACGCCGTGGCTGGTGTACAGATTTTCGACACAGTATAGATATAAATCGAAGCAAGGATTCAGGGACGAGGCAAGCAGATCTACCTGCGCAAGTCGTAATCACGATTGGTCGAAAGGGTCCATTCGGAGGAGCCGACAAGTGCCGAGCACCACGCCGGAGGGTGGGGTGATACATAAAGCACCGCGGCGTAGACGCGGAGACGGCAAATTACGCTGACACTCGCGGATCGCGGATCGTTCGAGCACGCTCGCGGATTTTCCTTGACGCACAACATCCCGCCAATCGGATCCACGTGGATACCAACTGTCAAGAAGCCACACCGTTCACCGTCCGACCGTCGAATCCTGGTACGTTTATCGCGTTCTCAATAACACTCGCTTCTCGCGTTTCGAAATGTTTGGCAGAAATATTAGATTGACCAAAAAGTACCATTGAATTTTTGAATGAAGTTTGAAGAAAAATTGTATCGTGTTAAAGTAATCTCAGTATTCTTTGTGTTTTCTATTTGAAAGCTTTCTGTTGTCGTTTAGTTTGTCACTCTGTGATATTTATTAGTATACTATAATATGAACGGTATATTTAAAAGTAAAACAAGACTTTTTGGCTAACGTAATTAACTAAGTAAAATAACATCTGATAGTTCCATAATAAAATTCTTTTTGATTGGTAGTATGTTCAGTTTTATGTCAGTGTTTCTTTATATGTACTTGTTTCTTGTTGTTGTTTTTTAAATAAGTAGCTTTTTAAAAAGAGTGAAGTTTCCGGAAGGTGTTTAAAACTCATAAAAGTCGTTGTGATAATTTAATATTAATACAATCGTTACCACTATTATTTGCAGATGTATTTTTGATTGTCGCAGATTTTGTATTCTGTTTAAAAAAAGGCAAATACATTTTTGTTCTGTTGTTCTTTCATGTTAGAGCGCGTAAGATAACATTAAGAAAATCAATTAGATTTCTTTAAAAAGTAACAAATGATCGGGCTTATAATGTTAAATTCATATGTTTTGAAGACTGGTGTGTTTAATATGCTTTGTAATACTTAATAATATAGTGTTCCTACTTTCGAATCTAAGTAAATGCAAGAATAGTGATTTCTCGAATTGAACAGAATTATGTGGATACAATTAACGCGTATGAGCCGTTCAATTTGATAATAGATCGATTGTAGTTACGTAGTCTCTTTAGATTTGTTAAATAAAGTAGATTTGTTTCAAGTAAATTAAATCCCATCTCTTTTCACAAATGTAAAAAATGTTTTAGATTATATTATATACATTTCTATTATATGTTCAATTTTCATACATTTCTTTGTTCTATCTAAAAGCAATTCTTATCTTTTTTATTATATAGAAGATGAAATTTATTATTTTCTTGTACAAATATAATAAAATATTCTAAGACTTAATTTGCGTTTACGACTATTGGTGAAAACAATTGTTTTATATTTCTCTATGAATTTTGTTTTGTCATTGAGGTTCTTATATTTACGTATTTATAGTATTCATACTTGTAAATTCATGAACAACTTTCATAGATTAATGGCAATTTATTTTCATAGAATTAAAAAGGGAATAAAGGATGTAAAATGAACAAATATATTTTAATGATTTACCATTTCACTAATGCATATGATTATGATTAACTACTTAAACTTGTACAAAATGTTTCTTTATTACCAGTTTCGTTTATATAATGTAAACAAAAAAGTATCAAATATTTAAATACTTGCAGTTAAAAACAAGAACTAATATTTGTAGGGTTAGATGTAGTCACTTGTAAAACTCCTGTAACATCTAAAACTTGTTATCAAGTAATTCGAACTTGACAATTTTCCTTACATTCCACATAGTAATTAATTCTTAAGCATTTTATATGACATTTCTTCACAGAAACGAGGTATTCATTGCAATCCATGCATTGACAATAATTACCTATAAAACATTTGGTATGAAAATATTTTTACAACGCCAGAAATTTAATTACTCTACGGAATTTTAAAAACATTAAATGCATTTAACAATGACCTTTACACTTAACTGTAATCTATTGCACTTTCTTTTAACTTTCGCGAACATATATATAAACTTACACCAATGTTACTAAACATTTAATTACTTGTAGCAATTCTAATCTGCAAATTTTATGCACGTATAGAAAATGACAAGTATCACAGTCTATTGTTTTGAATTTACCGTTTAGTTTGACCTTTTTATTCAATTTATACAATCGATATTACGTCACAGACAATCGTTATACGATATTTTAGAGTTAAACAGTTTCCTTGTTCTGAAGATAGAGGAATAATTAATTACATGAGATCAAAATATGTGAATGCATTTACGTGATTGTATCTCTGTTAACTTTTATCATAGTGCATTTAGAATCTGTGTAAATGCTATCAAAACATTGCAGATGTCTTCAGTAGGAGAAATTCAAATCTTATGAACATTAATGACTTCGAGATAAATAGTATTGCGTAATAAGCTGTCGTATTGCTGAAACTTGTATTGAATAATGGACACCAGTGTGGAATTGCGTTCACGCGATCACCGATATACTTCTCCACATTTTGAAATGAATACTTCCATGAGAATGAGGTTCCTTTCATTTTCACGGGAACGCGCTTGATTAATTATTTCTGAGTTTATAAAAATAAATAAAGATATTATAAAGTCAATTTTAGATATTGTAAAATAGATTTAATAAAATAATTGGTATTAACATTGTTCCAGGACAAATTTTTAATTAATGATATTGTCTATTAAGAAAGTTATATAGAAAATATCGGTAGACTCAACAACATTTTTGATTGACATTGAAAAATTTTAATTTTATTCCAGGCTTTTGTATGATACATGTATCTAATATTCGGAATATAAACATAATATAAAGTGTATTTACACAGTCTTTATTGTTAGTGACAGACTGTATATATTTTTGTAATACTACAAAATTTGTTTATGAAAATAATATTCACAATGAAATTTCTATATTGTCCTTTTAAATTCTGCAAGTAAATTGTGCAAAGAAATGCATTTGTTACGAAATCAGAAAATAATGGTCCCTTTGATTTGATTTTAATATAATACTATTATTTTATGTCTAAAATTAATAGGTTTCGGATATTCAATGTAAAATATATTTTGATGTTTTAAAATCTCTTATTGAATTGTTAAAGGGAATCATAAACAATGGGAATTTGGAATGATTTGAAACTGAAAGTTGGAAAAGTTGAGTAATTCTTATTGGGTAACTGAAGAAAAGAAAAGAACTTGATTTCTATATAAAAACGTAATAAGTACAACCTTATTCCATCGTAACAGAAACGGAGAACGGTCATGGTCGACCTAAATCAAATATTACAAAGCATTATGAAATATCTGAAAGGAAGCTATATTCACATGTTTTGTTTAAGCAAGATGAACTTTATTAAACTATGTAATGTCTCTAACATTATAGTAAACTGATTTCATGTGCTACACATATAATGGTCAAATTAATTTCTACTTAACGCTGTTATATAAATTTTGTTTCTGACTCAAAAAAGACAGGATTCAATAATCTATTATGTAAAATCTGACAAATCAACAATTAAAATTAGACTACGAATGTGCAAATTTTCAATGGTCATGTAAAATAGTAGACTATGATCTTTTATTGCTTCTGAAGTTATTTTATTTTTATAAGATCATTTACAAATATTAAGCTTTAGAATCATATGACTAGATTTTACATATAATTACGAATATTCATTACTTGTCAAAACACATGCATTCTGTTGGTACGAGGAAAATTACGTTAAACTGTACGCATACAAGGAAAAAATTGTAGAAATCATTTCTGCAATGTATCACTTAGGTATATACGAGTTTCTAATTGTCTACAGGTTTCGACATGAGAATATATTTTCCTTGTATTGACGTAGTCTTCTGTTTCCCCTAAGACGTCATTTGTTAAAACAAAAAAATGAATTGTACATGTTGTGAAAGCGTTGAACATTCGTTACTGCATTGAAAGGTTAATGAACCATGATGGTTAACGTACCCAACCAGGTGATTCTGTCGCACTTATGCTTCCGAGAATGCAATGACGTCAAAGTTGCGATCAAGGAAATCCCAAGGGATTCCCTGCTTTCTTCGACGCTCAAGGATCCAGAATATATACTCGATCATTTCCTTTCCTTGCATAATATAAATTACTATACTTGCCACGCTACAGATTCATTCCCAATTCATTGAAAATTACAAAAATAAAAAATTTGAATTCAATTACTAAGGCTACTGTTAAATTACAGTATCTAAAAAAACGTAACATAGGTTTATATATGTTATTAATTTATGACACTCGTAATTTAAAATGAAATGTGTTAATATTAAATTATTAGTGCAACTAGATTGGAAAGACGATAAATTTAGAATTGCATTTCAATCTGAACTATTTGTTAAATCAAAGATCACAATAATATAGTATAAAAATTATGATAGAAACAGTAACTTTTACTTGATCATTTAGTTTTGCATTTCCTTGCAGTTCTGAAATAATAATTACAAAGAAGTAGTTGCTTTAAGTTGTAACGATTTATTTATTTAAATTTTAATTGCTAAATGACATAGAATACTAACAATCTTAAGAACTGTAATAAAGATATTCTTTTTTGTGAATACTCA